AATGCACAGGTAAGTTTTTAGAGAGTAGGCTTAGTACAACAAGGTAAATGTATTTGACACTATTGAACTGTACACTTAAAAATGGGTAAAATTGGGGGAGGGAGGAAAAGTAGAAATACTGAGGATTAACATGGAGCAAATTATATTCCATCCATGTATGAATATCAAAAGGAATGCCATATTATGTATAACTATAATGCACTAATAAAAATATTAAAAACGGGGGCTGGGGTTATGGCTGAGCAGTAGAGTGCTTTCCTAGCATGTGTGAGGCACTGAGTTCGATTCTCAGCACCACGTGTAAATAAATAAAATAAAGGTGCATCAACTAATAAAAATATTTTAAAAAATATTAAAAATGGTTCACATGTTTAATCCTGTAATGTGTGTGTGTGTGTATATATATATATATATATATTTTTTTTTTTTCTGTAATGTATATTTTAACAGAGCTTTCTGGATCAAGAGTATTGGTGTGGTGGTGTACGCCTGTAATCCCAGCGGATGCTGAAACAGGAAGATCACAAGTTGAAAGCCAAAAAACAAACTGGGGATGTGGCTCAGTGGTTAAGTGCTCAATCCAGTACCAAAAAAACTACTACTAATAATAATATGCATTTTTAACAGCAACAATATTGCTTACATCAAGACCAAAATTATTGTGTGTGTGAGAGAGAAAGAGATAAAGAAGTACTCTAGTATATAAACAGATACACAGAACATCTGTGGCATTCAAATTCCATGAAAGCGAGGTAGTGATTAGGAGGAAAAAACGTCCAAAGGGCTTCCTAGCAGAGAGGCAGTAATGAAAACAAAACCAACCAAACAAACAAAAAATGGTTTCACATTTAGCTGCAACATGCACTAGTGGATAACAATTGTTTTTGTGACTGTTTTCTCAGCTATGTTAAGATTAAATTAGTGAATGCATGCATGTATAGCAATACCCATTCCAAGGCAAGTGCTTAGTGCTTAACAAATCTTAGCTATTTTGATGTCAATATTCTGGTTAATAACCACAAAGAGAACTCCACATGTTCTAAGAGTTTAATGTTAGTTATATGACCTTTGTTGATTAAAGATATGTGTTTACATTTTTCCTTTCCTCAAATCCCAATTCTATGACAATAAAACAACACACACACACACAAACACACAGTCTCCTTTAAGCATCCCCAGAGCCTGAAAATACATCATACTCCTAGTTTTATGACTTAGCCAAAAGGAACAAGGTTTAGACCTGAGGCTCATCATTAGACACAAATCAACCACAGATTTCTAGAAAAGAGTAAATGGACTTATGTTGATAGATTGTTAAAAAAAAGAAAAAAAAAGGAGGTGTGGTGGGGAGGCTAAAATGCAGAATATTGCATTGGAAACTGGAACAGTTGTATCTGCTCATAGATGGTCATAAATTGGTAAGCCCCAAGGTCTGAAGATATGTAAAGAATGAGTTGGTGCAAGGGTAAAAATCAGTCGCTTTTTGTTTTTCCCCCCCCCCCCCCCCCCCCCCCAGTGCTGGGGATTGAACCCATGGCCTTGTACATGCTGGGCATGTGTTCTGCCATTGATTTGCACTCCCAACCAATGATGATTATTTGAAAAAATGTCTCTGGAATTGCTTTCCTCTCCTTTCACAGTGGTGGTACTATTGACTCTAAAACCAAATAATCAACTAATCTCCAATGAAATGGAGAATCTGGATAGAAGCAAACTTTCAGATTTATACAGCTATCCTTACTTTCTCTTTTTTCCTTTCAGTGTTGCGGGGACACTAACAGGGGCAAACATGTTGTTCACCATTTGGGGACCCTCAACTGAAGTCACTAGTCTTTTTCTTTGGAGTCCAGTAATTTTATTAGACTATGTCTTGGTAAATCAGGTACAGGGTACAGTCTTTTAATACACAATTTTGACATTCATTTTAATTTTAGGAAAGTTATCTCTCTATATATTTATTTATACATTTATATATGGTGTTGGTGGGCCTTTATCTTATTTATTTATAAGCAGTGCTGAGAATCAAACCCAATGCCTCACAAATGCTACACAAGTGCTCTACCACTGAGCTACAACACCAGCCCTAGGAAAGTTTTCTTTTAGTATTTGTTGTTGCATTTTTTCTCAGGAACCCCTATTGCTTACAATTTTCTCTTCTTTCCATCTCTTTTTTCAACCCATCTTACAGCATTATTTGCCCTTGCCTTGCTTACATTTTAGGTTTCATTTCTAATTTTCTCTAGGTTCTGTCATCTTATCCTGCAGTTTTCATAATTGATATATTGTTCTTTCATATCATATAATTTTCTTAGTGCATTTCAGCTCATTCTGAAAGACTGGGTTATAGTTTTGCTGTTCTGTGGGCATGTTTTTAACTGCAAAAAAAAAAAAAAAAAATTCTGGGGGAGGCCTTGGGGGATCAGTCCAGGGCCTTGCACATGCTAAGTGTGTGCTCTGCAACTGACCTACATCCCTAGCCCTTTACTGTATGTTTTTAATGTCTGTAGCAATGTATTTTCCCTATAATAACTTTGTATGCAATCCAACTTCAATACTTTTTGTTGCTCATTTCGGTGTAAATTTAATTTTCTTGAGCTTTTAGAATGAGTAGGGTTTCAGAAAAGCTTTGACTTAACAAAGCTCCCTCCTCTGGGTAGTATTAAAAAAATTTGGTGGTTGTTTTTTCAAGATTTTTTTTGACTGTAACACTCCTTAACTTTTATCTGAATAGTCTCCTCTTTTCTCTTCTTGTCTGTACTGCACACTTTGTTATAAAATTTTATTTCACTCTCAGCAGTTTCTCCTTAGAGTGGGTTCTGCCTTGTCAAGCCAGTTTTGAGAATGCATAGGAGGGATACTGCTCCTGTCTCCTTGGTCTTTCAGAATAAAAGCTCTCCATTTTGGCTATGGCTATCTAATTGACTAGCACAGTCTTTCAGTGAATACCTGTCAGTTGTTCTGGAGTTCTGGTCTGAGGTCCAACATGCTTCCTTTTCCCTCATGCTTTCTTTGTCCTCTTCTAGCAGTATTTTGACCCCAAAGTATCATGGAGATACCATGTCACAAGGTTTGTTGTAATTGTTTTATTGATTTTAAGTTTCACTATCTAGTTTCACTTTCTGTTTTCATGTGAAGATTTAGAGGCTGAAAAACTGTGTTACTGTCACCACCATTACCTTCCTAGAACCCACTCCTTCTCCTAATTCCTTCTTCCCTGGACTAGTTTCTGAATCACTGTGACATATTGAGGTATTGCCATCTTTAAGTATTACTTGGAGAGTAGTTGGTAGCCCTTAGTGTCTTTGTGATCAGATATCTAACAATATCACTTTGGTGCACCTAGTTTTAAGGTTTACTACAATGAAATTTTTTTAACAATCCTATTCTCAGTTTCTATCTAGTGTAAAGTATTCACAAAACCTATCCTTAGTGTCCATGTGATAAAAATGCCTTTAAGATTACTTATGTTTTCAGTAACAAAATTCCTCAGAATAGAGAACCCAAAATATTTTCACCAAACCAAGCTCTGTACTGAATAAAAATATTATCAAACAAATTATGTGTTATCAAGTCATTCTGAATAGCATTCACCTTATTTTTTCATTTTAGAGGAAAAAGTGACTCGAATACTTGTTGATTGAAGGATCCAGGAAAAGTCTCTATTTCTGCAATATACTGGTATCCTTTTAAACCTTCCTCCCAGGAATAAATGTCCCTCTATATCCAACTCAACTTATGCTCTAAACAAATGACAGATAAGCTAGCATTTTGGAATTTCTGGTAAGCTTTTTCTAAAATCTCAAATTAGATTGGAATCCAGTAACAACAACAACAAAAAAAATCCTTTGCAGAAGTTTAGTGCTATCTTTAGGCTTTTAAGCACTTGAAAAAAAATTAAACCATAATGTAATAACTGCCACTATTAACACAATGCTACCGAGTAATTTAATCAGGTATATAAACTTTCCAAATGACTCCCCTCCCCCACCCCCGTCAAACATAAAACGTAAAAAGATCTATTAAATTCATTAAAAGTAAGAAACACTAAAATATCCCCCAAAGTCTAGTTTACCTAACAGACCACTGTTTTCTTTTCACAGTTCCAATACATAAATATACATTTTGGACTCTACACATAAACATTGTTCTGTGGTCACTGCATGCCAAATGTTATTAGCACCAATAATGTTTTCATGCTCTCTAATGCACTGAAGCCTCTAACGCCCTCCCCCGGCCCTATTATTATTATTTTCATCATTATTATTTTTGTTATGGCAAAAGGGGGTTGATATTGATACCTTTTTTCCTTTAGAGGTACTGGGGATTTAACCCAGGGTCGCTTTACCACTGGGTCCTTTTGATAGTTTCCAATCCTTTTTATTTTGTGACAGGGTCTCCCTAAGTTGCCAGGCTGCCCTCGAACTTGTGATCCTCCTGTCTCAGCCTCCTGAGTAGCTGGGGGAGTTGATAATGTATTTGAGATAATTGAAAAGGCATCATAAATATGAACCATCAGCCACTACAAAAAGTCTAGGTGCTGGGAGCGAGGTAGGTGGGATGCAGCCCTTTCTAAGGGAAAGTAAACAAGGTGATTCAACCACGGAGGCGGCTGTTATGGTTTGTACGTGGGTCAGCTCCTTTGGTGGGCTGGGGGATCTACGAGGGTCTGTCCTTCAGCTTCACCCCTCCATCAGGGCGGAGGAAACCTGCAGCTCCCTGCTGAGGGAAGGGGCGAACTCTCGGAGCGTTCCCACCCAGGACTTATTTCCTAGTCGCGGAAGGCCCTGCCCGGGCAGGAGCTGTCAGACTAGCCGGGAGCCCCGCGGGTCTGCGCACAGGAACGCATCCCGCCTGTGGCACCTCAGTCGGTTCACCCTGCGTCCTCAAACCTCCCATCCCCCGGCCTACGCCCCTCCGCCAGCAGAGACGAGCAGGAGGAAGCTGGAAAGCCGCGGTCCCGGGGTCCTCGGCCTTCTGAACCGCTGCCCGCGCTCACCCACCTGATGCTCTTTCACCACTTCGCTGAGGCAGGGGTACCGCTCCGAAATCCATCGGTAAAACTTGGGGACTCCCATTTCGACAGTCAACACTAATTGCAGACAGGGCCAAACCGAAACCAAACGCCCCGCCGGGGCCTACGCCGCCGCCTCCGACCGTCGCTCCGCCGATGACAACACACCGCCCAACCGACCATAGAGAGCGCCCTGCGCGCCTAGAGCGGCGGGATCCACGGCCGCGTCCCGGGGCGGGGCTTATTCCCGTCGGCCTAGCCGCCTGCGGCCCAGGTGCTGGCGGCGGCCTAGGAGCTGCGAGGATCTCTGGACCTTAGCCCTGAGAATGCCAACTGATGGGCTGTGCTTTGGAAGCGGTGTGAAAACCGTCAGGGATTGTTGGAAGGGTGCTGAACACCGACTTTTGTCCTGGCTGCTTCTGCCTCCTGGTGTTGCTAATCAGTATTTTTTCAGCACGGATTTAGAAAATGTCTAGCGATATATTTGGCTTTATTTTGCGAGAGCGCGTTATTTTCTCTTAGGAATGTAGGCCAACAGTAAAGTTTCCTTTAAAAATATTTTTTGGAAAAAGGAAAACCCGCAAACAAAAAACAAAGCGAGCTTTTCGGGCGCATGCCTGTAGGTCTCTACTATTTTGCCCAACCTATCTCAAAAAATAAAAAGGGGTAGGGATGTAGCTCAGTGGTAAAGCAACTCGTGTTCAATCCCCAGTGCCAAAAGAAATTGTTTTAGAAAGAATCAACCCCATTTTTCCAAACACTTGGACAGGATAGTAAGAGGGTTGGGGTAAGTGTAGCTCAGTAGTAGTGCTCCGGGTTCCAGTACCTCCAAAACAAATAACCCGCTCTTTTAGAAAGTTGCGAAAATTTTTCTGAATTAGAGGGCCTTTAACTGTAAACATTAGGCCTCTGGAAGGAAATTATATGTTTAGTTTTCACAAGGCTGAGTTCTATTGTTAACTTATTTCGAGTTTTCCAATTATTTGAATGTAATAACCGCAATGCTGCCTAATTATCTTAAGTCTTCGGAAAAAAAAAATTTGACATTTAACTATTTTCCGACTTTAAAATCTCATGCAGTTTTGAGTGTTGCTATCTTCTATGAACACTAGATAGTGCATTCTAGTACACCTGGAGTATGGCAACATCTTTAAATTTTATAGAATGTTAGGAATGCTGGTGTAGTTCGAGTGAAGAGTGCTTGCCTATCATGTATGAGGCCCTGGGTTCCATTCCTAGCACTGGAAAAAAATAAAATAAAAACAAAAATATTACAGAATGTTTATTCACATTTCTTGAATTTTTCCCCATCACACTTTCAAACATACTAAAAAAGACTTTTATTATTAAGCGAACTTAATAATATGCTATTATGTTTGAATCTCTCAGGCTGTCAGTTCCACAAGGACAAAAGAGGCAGCTCTGTGTATAAGTGTACAGAAATGCTGGATTTAATTTTGTTGTCAAAATGAATCCTTATGCCAACTATTATTTTTTTAAAAGAAACCAATAAAAATTGTAAAATGAAATTAGGCTGGCTTGTTTTCTTGCAAATACTTCTTTAACCATATGAATATATGATGTTTCAATTCTTCAATTAGAATATACCATGTGTGTTAAGCAATTTATCTTAATAACTGAACATATATTATCTTAAAACATTATTAATAGGGCTGGGGATATAGTTCAGTGGTAGACTGTATACCATGTGTGAGACCCTGGGTTCAATCCTCAGTACTGCAAACAAAACAAAACAAAACAAAACAAAAACCACCCAAAACACTCTTGTTATTAACAATCAGAAAGAAATAATACCAGTTGCTCTGAAAACATAAAGAAACTTATGTTGTAATTTAGAATTAAATATATATATATAAATATTGAATACATTAATTCTAGATAACATTCTTTGAAGTAATTGCATTTCACATATATGGGGTCCAGCCAAGGTACATTTGGCATAATAAGTTTTCATCCGTAGCTTCTTGTATAAGGTAATGCACATGTCCTTCAATAGATAATGGCAATCCTGTCACTCTATTTCGGGTCTTGATTACACCTTGCAGTCGCTGCTCTATGTCAAGAACGTGGGTCTTGGCCTAAAAAGAAAGACAAAGTCATTAGGACTAATGACTCAATAACATGTGGTGTTGGTAATTTAGAATTTCTACTTTCTTGATATTTAAATAAATATCAACACTTTTTACTAATCAATACCCCTTTGAAACAGCAAATAAAGAAAAATCAAATTCAGTAGTGAGATATTGATTTTGAGGCTTGTTATATTAATTCAACATCAACTGATTGGACATGTTTCTGGACTTCATGAAATAGAGGGAAACTCTTTTCACATTATAATTCCAGAAAAGTAATAAATTTAAATAATTTGTTTCAAGGGCTAGGAAGTAGCTCAGTAGTGGAGCACTTGTCCAGGATGTGCAAGACCCTAGGATAAATCCCTAGGATCACACACACAAAAATACAAAACCAACAAAAAGGTGCTTTCAATGTGTATAGACATTATGTATTTGAATGAATATTCTAATAATAGCAATAATGCTCTAATAACCTAATACTTAAATTACATTAGCGCATACAAATGGAAATTCTAAGTGAGCTACTTAGAAAAAAAACTTCACATTTTTTTCTCTTAGGAAAACAGCATATCAGAATATAAAAATGAAAATGATGTTATCAGAAAAACAATCCTCAGGCTGGTGGTGTAGCTCAGTGGCACAGCATGTGCTTAGTATGCACAAAGCCCTGGGTTTAATCCACAGGACATATATCACATTTAAAAAAAAAAATCCTTAAATCTATTCTAACTTACTAAAAATGGTCGTCTGTAAAATTGAGACTTAACTAATTTTAGTAAGGAATTAACTGCTACATTTTTCAAGATGGCTTATGGCACATATCACTGTAGTAAGGCTCAGATATGTTGTTCTGTAAACTCAGGCAATTTGTGTCCAAGTTTTTCCCACTGTTATTTCATAATTGTAAGATGTTTATGTTAAACAAGTATGCCTTGTTGTCTTTTATTACATCAATGCTATGTTAACATTAGAAATAACAATAAAGAAAACTTAGATTTCAGAGTAATCAACATTCACTTGAAATATTTAAGAATTCAGTATTCAGTTCTCATTTGTAAGACATACAGTATTAGTTCATATCAAGTTGCACCTTCTGCTAACCTTTTCATTGACAACTTCCCCAGTTTCATTCAGTGTTGCTTTGGAATGTCCTTTTACTGGCTTACTCCACTCCACAAGAGGATCATGTAGAAAAGTCTTTAAGACACTAAAATCGAAACATATGGTTAATACAATGATATCTTTGCAAAAAAGAAATCTTGCTACAGTCAACACTTAAGAGTTAGGTGAAGGATGAGAAGCTTAGTATAATACTCTGTAAGAGACATTACTACTTTTTCAGTAAGGTTATGTGAAATTTTTGTTTTGTCGTGCAGAGAAGGGAAAGATAGGGGAGATAGAGGCAAGACACAAGATGGTAGGAGGTGTTTTTTGAGGGCAAGATGAGTTCTGTATGCCATCTCTAAATGTATACCATGAACTGATAAATGAGTATTTACTGAATAAATGGATTTTATCCCCTGCCATATCATTAATGCCTTCAGTTACCACCAGATCTTTTGTCTGTGCTCTAGACATCAAATCCAACCACTTATAGGAAATACCCACTTGGATTTAATATAGGCACCTCAAACTCAGTATCTCTAAAACAAAACTCATTACCTTTTCCTAACCACTACTCTTGTATTCCCAAAATCAGTTAAGAACAATATTATTTTCCCAGGAAAAAAATCTAGTAATCATCCTTGCTTCCTCTTTCTCTATCATCTGATTCCACCTTTTTAGACTCTCTACTTACCTCCATCTCTACTGCTACAACATCCTCCAATGCACCATTGTTTAATACTGGGTTTCCACAATCGTCCTTAGTTTTCTGGCCTTTAGTCCAAACTCTAATTATTCTACAGTATAAACCAGATTGTCTCAATTCCTTCTTTTCTTTTTTGTTTCTTCTTAAAACCCTCCAATTACTTCTGGTTGCTCTCAGGGTATAGCTTAAATGTGAAAAGAAGCTTCAAGTAGTCCTGTGTAATTTAGCCATCATTTCTTAGCACCAACTCTTTGAGGGATAGCCTCTAGAATACAGTACAATAGTCTTCTGTGTTCTGTAGTTTCAGTTACATGTGGTTTGAAAATATTAAATGGAAAATTCCAAAAAATAATCAATTTTTCAGTTTTAAATTGTCCCCTACTGGGTAGCATGATGAAATCTCCTGCTGTCCTACTACCCGTGCCCAGCATGTGACTCATCCTTTTGTCTAGCATATCCACGCTGTGTACCACTCCACCTGCCTATTAGTCAGTCACTTAGCCAGCTGATCTATCAGAATGACTGTCATGAAATCCCAGTGATTATGTAAGTAACCCTTATTTTACTTAACAATAGCCTCAAAGCACAGGAATAGAGATGGTGGCAATTTTGTTACAGGATATTGTTGTAACTGTTCTATTTTATTATTAGTTATTGTTGTTAATCTCTTAGTGTGTCTAACTTATAAATTAAACTTTATCACAAATATATATATAGAAAAAACATAGTACATATAGAGTTGGATACTACCCTTGGTTTTAGGCATCCCCTGGGAGTGATGGAACATTCTTCTATGGATACTGTGGATAAGGGGAGCTCTTGATTACATTTCTCAGGCAGGCCATGCCTTCACTTAATTTGATATTTTATCACTCTCAGGACACTCTTTTCCCCTTTGCACGGTCAACTCTATTTATCTTTAAGAAATCCAGCTACTTCAGAAATTATTTCCTGACTTCCCCAAACAAAACAAGGGCTCCTGGGTAAGTGATTCATAAATGAAATATTTCCTCTTTCAGAGGATTTGTTTTTCCTCATGTTTAACTAATATAACCAGTATATTCTACCACAATGTTTGGTAGAAAGATTTTAAATACCGGAAGTGAATAAAAGAGCTGAAAAGTCCTTTAAAAATCTGTTTCCTATAGCCTAATAGTTTACTTAGAAGTGAAAGACTTTTATCTCTAAGACCTACAAGACTATGCCCTTACCTGATCTATTTGACATAGATCTAACTAGGACAGTTAGGCAAGAAAAAGAAATAAAAGGCACTGAAA